ACCCCTGTGGTTGTCCCAATGCGCAAACTTCACAATTGTTCCATGCGAAGACACCAATTCCACACCATTGATTGCCACTACGGAGACACGCAGCATATCACACATTACTAATTCCATGACTGGGTAATTGGCCTGTCCAGTAAATTTCAGACCCACCAAATTACCCCTGCAAAACGGGGGGTAAGGGGTCCCCCCATCATGCAAGCCACATCAACAAAACGACAAGCGTCCACCAACCACCACATATGCTGGGCCACTACTGGAGGACACTCGGGCACCTCCGCACCTGCTGCCGGCTAGTGGACAAATCCTGGTGGATACTACTGAGTGACTACATTTGTTTTCATGAAGACTACATTTGTGGTAGCCTTAATAACTCCCGCGATTCAAAGGCCTTAAGCCCCCAACCCGTCCTCATGCCAGGCTTTTTAGAGGAGCGGCCGTCCTCCCCCGGGTGAATTCATCAGTTTTAACATAGTATGAAAAATTGGTTTCTTCTCATATATATACATTATTATTATATAAATTTCTATTTATAGTTAGGCGTAGGTAAGGTTAGGTTACGTGTTTAGGTTTTGTTGGTGATTATTTGTATTTTTAGTACATGCAACCCGTCCTCAGATCAAGTCCATTCCATCCAGCGGTTGACCTCAAAGACGCATTCATAAAATTTAACATGCTGTTCATTCAGAATGGAAATTTTGTCATATATGAATTAATATCGTTATGTATTAGCATACTGTGCATGTTTAGGCATTGGTTAGGTTAGGTGTTTAGATTCTGTTGGCAATTATTTGTATTTGTAGTACGTGGGTGAATCATTTACAACATTGTGGTTCGTACAAAAGTCGTCTGCGAGCAGCCCGTCCTCCAAACAAAGATCCAAAAGTGATTCCATGTACCTGCCAAACCCCCTGTTTATGAATGAAAAGCGGTTTACACACGACTCACAACTGCTGACGTTCGAACATATCCGGAACAAGTGCTTCACTGACGAATTTTGTTCGAACCACAACGCTATAAATGCTTCACCCACGTACTACAAATACAAATAATCGCCAATAGAACCTAAACACCTAACCTAACCTATGCCTATTTATACACAATATGCTAATATATTATAATATTAATTTATACTTGAGAAAATTCCCGTTTTGAATGAACAGCATGTTAAAATTTATGAATGCGTCTGTGGGGTTGACCACTGAATGTAATGGACTTGAGTCGAGGATGGGTTGTAGAACCACAACGCTGTAAATGCTTCACCCACGTACAACAAATACAAATAATCGCCAACAGAACCTATACAACTAACCTTATCTAACCCTGCACAATATTCTAATCAATATAAATAAAAATTGAAATGTTCGTTTGTCCATAACCGCTAATTTCCGAAAGTTCTTCACCTATTGCTTTGAAATTTTCACACAACGTTCCATTCGCATCCGAGCAGGTTTTTATATGCATACTATATAGATGTCACGTCTGTGACGGTAAAAATACACACTTTTTCTGAAAAACCGTTTTTCATGTATTTTCTCATGTGAGGGAAATCTTCGAAACCTCTTTACCGATTGCTTTGAAATTTTGTCACAACGTTGCATTCTAATAGGCGCGTCTTTTTATATATCTACTATATACATGCCTTACCTGTGTCAGGAAAAAAACATTTTTTTTTAAACAGCGCCATCTGTTGGATGTAAGAGTAACACACGCTGTAATCTCAGAAAGTTCTTCACCGATTGCTTTGAAATTTTGACACAACGTTGCATTCGAATAGGCGCGTCTTTTTATATGCCAACTATATAGATGCCACCCCTGTGACAGGTAAAAACATGCGTTTTTGAAAAATAGCACCATCTGTTGCATAATAGCAACATGCACACTATACTAAATATGTCACGAATTCCATTTCAATGTTTCCGATTGCATTGATAAATTTAATTTCATAGATTTCGATTTATTTTATTTTTTATTGAATTATTTTGTATGACATTGTGTTGGAATTGAGCTGCGTTGTTTACCATGCTGTTCATTTCGTAAGTATAAATATAGATGCCACACCTGTGACAGGTAAATCTATGCTTTTCTTGAAAAACAGCGCCATCTGTTGCATGTAAGAGCAACACACATGCTATACTAAATATGTTGCAATTCCATTTCAATGTTTCTGATTGCATTGATAAATTGAATTTTCATTTATTCTCATTTTGATTTAATTTTTTTGTGTGAATTGCGTTGGAATTGAGCTGTGTTGTTTACCATACCGTTCATTTTGTGAGTATAGTTTATTTTTTTTATTTTTTTCATATTTTCATTCAATTTTTTAACTGTTTTTCTTCCATTTCAGTGATGGGAACATCAGATCACTTGATGTTTCCAATTTTCTGATGGGAACATCAGACCAGTTGGGAAGGCATTGGAAGAGGGAGTGGGGAATGGTGGGGATGACGAGGGGACGGAAGTGAGATATAGTGGGGAGGACGAGGGGACAAGGAGGGGGTAATGGTGGGGTAGGACGAGGGGACGGGGAATGGAGAATGGTGGGGGATTGCAAAGGGACAGGGGAGTGGGGCATGATGGGAAGGAAGAGGGGGACGGTGGAGTGGGGAATGGTGGGGAGTACGAGGGGACGGTGGAGAAGGGAATGGTTGGGAGGCCGAGGAGACAGGTGAGGAGGAATGGTGGAGAGGACTGGGAAGGTTGCTGTGGCTTACCAACGCACATGGGTTGCTGAGCCACAGCAACGCGTGGCCGGGTATGTTACCTATAGTTCGTTACGGTTCGTGACCCTACAACAGCCAAGCTTTAATTATGTCTAGGGATACTACAGCTGTTCTCTTAGAACGGGTCACCAGTGTAACTCCATGATTGATACAAAGCACAGAATTAAAAGTATATCTCCCTTAGGACTGAAGAAATATACGTATGCATTTTAAAATATATATATTCAATATACATCTCAATAATATATATATGGACAGAGGGTCACTATTAAAGCAAACATCAATATATTGTCTCTCCCAGAATAAAGATCTACTACATGACACAACAAGTAAACAGACTTATCTCCCACATGTTATTCCTTCTGGTCCCTTGAAGCTACTGACTACTCACGCGCCGTCTCTCATAATTATCTCCCCCTCTGCCTCATCCAGGATGAGGGATGGAAACTAAAGACTTTTTAATATTTCAAACTAATTGAACAACCACTTGTTCTCAAAACACATAAGAATGCAAATTAAATATAATAGTTACTTCCAAAATATATAAGTTACAATGCCACCTGCTTAATTACAGTAAATTAATAATTATATGATAATTAAAAAGTGACATCTGGAACTCCCATAACTGAACAGGTCCAGCAATTCTAATTTCCCGAATCTAACAGGTATTAGACGTGTGCAGAACAACCGTGCTCCTGTCCCCACTGACATTGCCACACCACACGATAATTTACAAAAATATAATGTGTACATATACAAGTAATGATATAATGGAACAAAATAAGTTTATTTAAATTTATATACATATTCAGCTAGGAGTACGTAACAGGGTACTGTTAGTATATTATAAAAATAATTTATATTTGGGAAAATTCCCGTTTTCACTGAACAGCATATAAAAGTTTATGAATGCGTCTGTGGGGTCGACCGCTGGATGTAATGGACTCGAGTCGAGGACGGGATGTTTGTTGGAACCACAACGCTGTAAAAGCTTCACCCACATACCTCAAATATCAATAATCGCCAACATATCCTAAAACACCACACCTAACCTATGCCTGACTATACAATGAACTTTTTATGAATAGTAATATTAATTTATATATGAGAACAAACCAATGTTTAATTCACAGTATGTTCAAATTGATGAAATGCGTCTTGGGAGCACGGCCGCTGCTTTAAACAGCCTAGTGTGAGGACAGATTGCACACGCCACTGAACACTAACCGAAAGGAGGATCTCAAAGATACACACATCTGTTATTCAATTGAGACTTTAAGCCTCCCCTGGGGAGCCACTTGAATATTGGGACATAGCACGAATCTTCTCAAATTTTCTTGTTTTCTTCACGTGAGAACGAAGTTGAAAAATTAACACGTATACATACACATAAATCTTTTTTTTTTTTTTATATCAGACTTGTTTCACGAAGTGAACTGCCTCACCTGCCTCTACAGTGAAATGAACTTTGAACAACTGCCTCTACACTACACAGTTTACATCTGCAATGCGCCACAAACTTACTGATCTTGCTCCATAAACCCCATCCAACTGGGCGGCAGCTTTTTATAATTATGAATATGTATTAATTTCACAACGCTAACTTTGGAGACCTGGCTAATATTTCAGGTAGTACATCTTTTTGAATAAAGTACCTACACATTTCTTGAACACCATTGACGGAGTTATCTCTGGATTCTGAGATTTTTTCACATTCAGTTAGATTGCGACGCAAAGAATGTATACAGTAAAAAGCTTGCATCAACACACCGTTGTGTAGGGTGAGGAAATGTATACCCTACCCATTGTCCTAAGTGTGACCTTCCCAACCTGGGTTAACGCCCTCCAATGTCGCTATACCCAATGTAAGAGCATCGTGTAAGATCAGATATAACCATCATTGAAAATATTCAATAAATGTGGAACAGCAGTTGAATGTCGCGGCTCACCAAGACATAGCCTGGACACGAATTATAGAGCTTGTAAATATAACTGACATTACTTTTTCTTCCTAACAATTGTAAAATTACTCTTCATTACAATTTTCAAGTTTATAAATTTCAAATGTCAGGAAGAGAACTCTATACACGTACACCTTGAACTATTTAACATTACCAACAGTGAAATTGTATTTATAAGTGTTATAGTATTTTGCACATTCAATATTTTGATAATGAACATTTTTAACGTTCAGTACGTAAATGTTCTTGATCAAATTATGCTATATTTACAAAGGTAAAAGAATAATTCAGAAATCTATAACTTGACAACGTTGGCAGTCTCGCCAGGCGGCGGAGGACACTAGCGGTCTACTGTCGCTATATAAGCCCAAACTGTGAAGCGAGAAGCACCACTCACATCACACACTCCAGCACATCCACACTCTCCCTGCAACATGAGGACTGTGAGTACCTCCATCCGTACACAGAAATATACACAGTGAGAGGTTTCCTCCACTTTTCAGTGTATATACTCTGATAGCTTAGTTCAGTCCTACTTTGTGTTCGAAACTGAAGTATACTTGCTGGGAGGTAGGTAAGCTCTCATGGGTGACACTCATTAGCCCAACATTAAATTTGGACCATCCTTGCCAGAGGCCAGGCTCTAAAGTGGTCTCATTTCATTAACAAGATGACCATACTGGGTCTAATTGTCTGTTTTAAGAGTCATCCAGTAACCTTCAACTCTCAGGTTCTGATCTTGGCGATCCTGGTGTCTTCCCCTTTCATTTTAAGTTTTAAAGTCTGTTCAAGTGTTAACCTATATGAAGACTTGTGTTTGTACACATGCAAGAATTCTCTTGTTAAATCACTTTATCCAGGCAATATCGTTTTTAACGAAGAATATGTACTTCATATGAAATCATATAACAAATAAATATACTGAATACTTGATTTGCAGGTAAAATTCTCAATAACTATCACTCACTTTCCTTTCATTCTATCGATTAGACTTTGAACAAAATTATTTTATTTGCATTCGCTGCCCTAACTGACCTGGCATACTACCCTTCCCGTGGCACAGTTCGTGATGTTTGCTCTGCTGGCTGTGGCGGCGGCGGACAAGAGGCCGCTCACTACCTATGGAGCACCAGGTCCTGCACCTCATCACTCCGCCGGACCCCAGATCGCTATCATTCGCGACGACAGAGTTCACCCTGACGCTCAAGGCCTTTACTCCTTGGACGTGGAGACCGAAGATGGCATTAGGAGGCAGGAATCTGGTGGCCCCGGTGGCAGCCAGCAGGGCTCTGTCAGGTAAGGCAGACAGCAGAGTGACATTTAAAGTGTTCGAATCCCGCATCACTGATCCGCTGTAAAATTTAATGAGAAGCACTCTACAGATTACAAGAAGTCTGGATAACTGATGCAAAGTAGCTTTGAAATAGGAAAGGGTTTTTTATCTAAACCAGTAACAAATATGGGAGGTGTCTTATCTAAGCAAGCTGCAGGGAAAGGAGGTTTCATCTTATTTAGTAACTAATAGGAATTTAAAGTACCAGCAAGGTTGCATAGATCGACGATACTATTTGCGATGCAAGGAGGATATAACATTTATACGTGTGCTGAGCAACTTACTTATTTTATGTTTATAACTACATTGTATGTTGTCATCAACTATTAAACATTACACCACTAACCTAAATGTCACCCACACTAATAATGAATTGGGCAGCATTCCACAGGTCACTAACCCACCTCATATCCTCCACAGCTTCACTTTCCCCGACGGACAAGTGTTCGACTTGAAGTTCGTCGCCGACGCCGCCGGTTACCAGCCCCAGTCCTCCTTCCTGCCAGTGGCTCCTGAGTTCCCCCACCCAATCCCCCAGTTCGTGCTGGACCAGATCGCCTTCGCCGCTCAGGAGGACGCTGCCCGCGCCCGAGGAGAGAGCAGAGGTCCCTCGGCTAGTTATGGTCCTCCCCAGTAAACAACCATTCGACGATGTAAACAACTTTTCGACATCGTTTCTCCCTCATAACGTGAACTGACCTTCTAGCAACATGTCAGTTTTATGTACTTGGCTTGAGGATTGTTATGTGATGTTCTCGTGTGTTAGGTGTCTGATATATTTGCGGTAATTTATTATAATTTAATTCATACAAAGTAAATAATAATAAATACATTTCGTGAATACTTTAACCCTCTACTTCACCATTCTTACGAATGCGCAAATTTTTGTTACTTCAACTAAGTTGCAAAATACTTTTGCAAGCAGGAATTACATGATTTTTAATACAGACATTTCACAATAGCATATTTAGATGAGGTTTATAATACAAACATCTACGATATATGCTTGCCTGGGTCTATACAATTCAGATGCTAGCGAGATGTGGCTTGCCTGAGCCTATAGAACTTAACAGCTTATGTCTAGGATTTAAAATTACAAATTTTTTATTTATATATACATGCAGAGCATTCGAATAAGTGCAATAAAAGAAACAGAAAATACAAAACAAAGAAAAACCAAGACAAAAGTACAAAACTCCAGGCCTGAAGGGCCCTACACCAAGACACTAACACGCATCGCATATCCTATTAGAGTACATAGTACAGACACAAACTTAAAAGAAAATATATAAACCCATAGGATAATACATAAAACACAGAAGAACTGTACAACCCCAAAACAAGGATACAAAACCACAGGCCTGAAGAGCATACAACAAGACACAAACACGTATCACATAACAGTACATAGGACAGATACAAACCCAAAAGAAAATACACAAACCATAAGAAAATACATAAAACACAGAAGCACAGTACAACCCAAAAAAAGCGTACAAAACCAAACGCCCAAACACAAAGGCACACATTGACATAAAATAGGAAACAGGCATAAAACAGATAACACAAAACTCAAACACAATACATGACACTGGACCCCAACTGTTTGTGGGTCCAACACGGACCCACAAACAGCAACATACATATACAACACCAAAACAAAATACATGAAACATAAAAGTACACAAAAGATACAGAAAATTACATGTAAATCACAGAAAAGTACAAAAACACTGGAGAAAAAAAAGCACATAGCAACAGTCCCGACGGGCCCACAGCAAGCACAACAACGGGAGGCAAAAGGAAGAACGCCAATATAAGTACACATACTTATACTTATCCGGAAAGTCTACATCCGGAAACCATAGGCAGTACGCCTCTCAAATAAGTCTCATATGACGAGGAGCAGGTTCACGAGGGCGCGCCACAACATCCGGAACCTTGGATACGAAGACATGCGCACTAGGAGCCCAAATAACAAAAGGGCTCAGGGGGAGCAGCGCAACTTGTTCCCATATGTAGGTTCGCTCTTCAACAATCTCAGATACACCGGACTGGTTACTATCACTACCAGACTGGTCATCGTCGTCAGACACGACACCCCATGATGGCGCAACCGCACCCCCCGGGAAAGGTGCAGCAACACATGTAACTCGGGTGACAACACAGGGGGCATGGGTGGCACCACGGCGGGAAGGGGTGGCACAACAAAACAACGGGCAGCACCACGGGAGAAGGCACCACAGGGGGAAACACCACAGGAGACATCTGGAACAACATCCATGGGCCCGGGCACCAGCACAGATCCCCCACGTCGTACATCCTTCTTCAGGACCAGCCTCTACAGCGTGGAATCCACCGCAGAAGGAGCAGAGGCCCACTCGAGTCACCCAAACTAGCAGCAGGCACATGAACAAATCCACAAGGGCCGTGACGAGGATTCGAACCTGCGTCCGGGAGCATCCCAGGTGCTGCCTTAATCGACTGAGCTACAACATGGTTAAAAAGAGTTGAAACCGAAGTTCTACTGAACTTACTGGATCCTGCAGCCTCTCCGAGACACAAACCAGGGTTTTACACAACTCCCCCCATGCACTCGAGCTATGTCAATAGCCCGTTCTCCCTCTTTGCCCTTACATCATTACACACAGAAATCACAATAACGTTCATTTGTTCATTTGATGCATCACGTTATTGTGATTTCTGTGTGTAAGGCACATGAACCTCCGCCACCCCCTTCACAGTTGACACCGCAGCCCCAGGAGCCACCTTATCAACATCAGCAAACTCGCAAAATTCCCCACGTCAGTCCAGGCAGAAATAGAGGAACGCTGCGAGCGCTTGGGATTCAGCTGCACGTCGTCAGAACCGGAGGAAGAACCCGAAGCACGGAAAGCACTGGGAGGACGAACCTTCACACGGCGTAGGACGGCAGCAGCTGTGACGACATGGGGGACTGGCCTCAACACAGCAGGAGGCCATGACTCCTCACCATCCCCCATCACGGCCGCCGAAAGTAGCGTGGATTCAGAGACAAGAACACCAGGACAACACAGAGGGGCAGGTGCTGAAGACGGAAACGAGGACCGCACAGCCACTGGCGCACGAACCCCACCAGGAGCAGGCACCCTATCCGACACAGGACGTGGCACGGGAACCACGGGCTCGTCCGCAGACGCACCCACCGGGTCCTCATCCACAGCTAGGGGTGGGAAATCCTCGTCACGAAAAAGTTTAACCTGTGTGACGACATCCGCCGAGCAGCCAGCAGCCCCGACAACACACAGCAGAAGCACGTGCGTGGCTGCCTTGTGTAGTAGACGCGGATGTAGTATGTAAGCCTCACTGAGGTGAGATATCCGCACACAGCCGCATCCCCAAGGTGTGGATACTTCCCCAGAGTTTCCCAGAGAAAATCATATTTAACCTCACACTCACGACAGCACCAAACTGCCCTAAAATACCTCCATAACAGCTCTTCTGGAAACTCAAGGGGCACACCGTGAACGCGGACGAAGGTGAGAAGCACCACTCCGGTCGGAGACAACCACCAAACCAGCAGCGTCCGGTAGTTCAAACGACCGCCCTTCATAGTGGTGTAAAAACAGCTTGTAATTCTCTGCATCAGCAAACTTCACCACAGCCCGGTGAGACGAGACGAGCTCCACTCCATAGATGGCAGCTACGGCCACACGCAGCATTTCACACATCACCAGTTCTACTGCAGGGGTAATCAACCCAGCCAGTAAACGCCAGGCCACCCGAATGAGCACGAAAAACAGGGGGGTGGGGGGGTGGGAAGGGTACTTCCCATCATACAGGCCACGTCAGCAACCATACCCTGGATCTGCCAACCCGTCCTCGACTGAAGTCCATTACATCCAGCGGTCGACCCCAAAGTCGCATTCATAAATTTTTACATGCTTTTCATTCAAAACGGAAATTTTCTCAAATATAAATTAATATATAATATATTAGCATATTGTGTATATATAGGCATAGGTTAGGTTTGGTGTTTAGGTTCTGTTAGAGATTATTTGTATTTGTAGTCCGTGGGTGAATCATTTACAGCGTTGTGGTTCCAACAAAATTCGTCAGTTAAGCACTGGTTCCGGAAGTGTTCGAACGAAATGAGTTGTGAGTCGTGTGTAAGCCGTTTTTCATTCATAAACAGGAGGTTTGGCGAGTGCATGGAATCACTTTTGGGTCTTTGTTTGGAGAACGGGCTTAAGCGTTTACAGTGTTGTGGTTTGAATAAAATTTATCAGTGAAGCACTTGTTCCGGAAGTGTTCGAACGAAATCAGTTGTGAGTCGTGTGTAACCCATTTTTCCTTCATAAACAGGGGGTTTGGCAGGTGCATGGAATCACTTTTGGGTCTTTGTTTGGAGGACGGACGATATATATCAGCGATCTTTGTACTCTTGAAATTCTCATCTGACCTGTCACATTTATCTGGACACATAAACAATACGTACGATGTATATTCTTTATTTAATACATTAATTGTTTCGCAAATAATAAATTAAGATGGAATCAACCCATTCATTCAACGTTGACAATTATCCAAGGAGCACCACATAAAACATGCTACGAACTGGAAGTATAACTAATCCAAGTTAGTCCTTATATTTGAGAGCAAAGACGAGAGCAAATATCCGGAAGACGAGGTTGTTACTGGGGAGCACCGTAACTGGCAGAGGGACCCCTGCTCTCTCCTCTGGCGCGGGCAGCGTCCTCCTGAGCGGCGAAGGCGATCTGGTCCAGTACGAACTGGGGGATTGGGTGGGGGAACTCAGGAGCCACTGGCAGGAAGGAGGACTGGGGCTGGTAGCCGCCAGCGTCGGCGACGAACGTCAGGTCGAACACTTGTCCGTCGGGGAAAGTGAAGCTGTGTAGGACATGAGATGGGTTAGTGACAATATCTGTTTGAATGACTGATATTTACAAAATTATTTATTAAAATAAAAAGTAGAGTAAATATAATTATAAATCCTGCGAAGTTCGATAATTTAGTTTATTTTTGAATGTAGTTTTCTTTAATGAAGTTTACATCCTAATTACATGACAACTGAATGAATACAGTATTTTTAAATTAAAAAATAATAATCGTTATTATTATTAAATATATTTATTGTTATAATATTAATAGAAGTTACTGGAATTAATTTTATTTCTTGTCCCCGTTGCGTGCAAAATTATACATCTTCAAAATATACAGAAATGATATGAGCAAAGGCATTTGACTGTGATTGTCAAATGAAAACTTTAAAGGTGAATGCCTTGCTAAGTGAGAGTGAGCCATTCATACTGGGATTAGAAGGGAATGAAGCAGTCCTTTGATTGATTGATAAAGATTAAGCCATCCAAGAGGTGTCATGGGCATGAGTAGCCCGTAAGGCAGTCCTTTGTTAGGGTACTGATTATGTTTGAAGTGTTTCAAATGCACCTTACCTGACAGAGCCCTGCTGGCTGCCGCCGGGGCCACCAGACTCCTGCCTCTTAATGCCATCTTCGGTCTCCAAGTCCAAAGAGTACAGGCCTTGAGCGTCAGGGTGAACTCTGTCGTCGCGGATGATAGCGATCTGGGGTCCGGCGGCTTGGTGAAGTGCAGGACCTGGTGCTCCATAGGTAGTGAGCGGCCTCTTGTCTGCCGCCGCCACAGCCAGCAGAGCAAACATCACGAACTGTGCCACGGGAGAGGTAGTACGCCAGGTCAGTTAAAAAAAGGGGGTGCCATCATCGAAGTTAAATGGCTGAACTTCCTGTTGTAACTTTGTTAATTATGTAAGAGGAGAAACAGTTTGAGAACTGCGTAGAAATATTCCGAGCTAAGTGATGTAATCAGCTTTTTCTGATGGTGAAGGGCGATGAATTACTGAACGTTCTGAAGGTGTGGAGCCAGTGTCGGGTAAAGACGGGGTAGGACTTGGCATGACCTTTTGTGTTATAAAGAATACCCGACAGATTAAACCAAGTTAGTTTACAATCTAAAAAAAATGTTAAAAATAATACTGATCAGTGTTAACTAAGAGTCGCCATGCTGAACGCTTAGTGTGATAGTGAGTAAAGTTCACGTCAAGACGGATGGTTGTACTCACAGTCCTCATGTTGCAGATGTTGAATGAGTTAGCGAGGAGGAGCTGGGGTCTGGTAACTGATGCCTCTCGCTCCACGCACTGAGCTTATATACCAAGCGTTGGCGCGACTCAAGGTGCTCACACAGCCCCGTCAATGCCAAAGTCGCCAATTCAATTTTATTCTCGTTTTTTCTTTAAAGTTGACCATTTTGATGTTAATAACGAACTACATACTTCACCCATGAAACAAAATATTCACAAAGTTTATGATTATCCATTATAATTCTTGTGCTAGCTTGTCTCATTAGTTGTTCAAGGTATCGTTAGTTGTGTTTCATGCCTTGTTTGATGTGTTCCAGATTTCGTTTGCTGTGTTTCAGGTATCTTCTCCGTTGACCAGTTCAAGGTATGCTGGACCGGATACCTTCCACTACGATTAATGTGTTGCAAGTCAATGAGAATGTTCCTTACTGTATTACGTACCTGAGACCAAGTCACTGAGAATGTTCCTTACTGTAGAACGTACCTGAGACCAAGTCACTGAGAATGTTCCTTACTGTAGAACGTACCTGAGACCAAGTCACTGAGAATGTTCCTTACTGTAGAACGTACCTGAGACCAAGTCACTGAGAATGTTCCTTACTGTAGAACGTACCTGAGACCAAGTCACTGAGAATGTTCCTTACTGTAGAACGTACCTGAGACCAAGTCACTGAGAATGTTCCTTACTGTAGAACGTATCATAGACCTGTCGCTCATGTTACAGCTTTGGGCGTACAGGTTAAGCCACTCTTGTCGTTTGTCACAGTAAAATCTTTCATTGAGCATGAATTTTTCGATTTGATTAATTTTGTTTCTTTTATTGCTTTATAGAACAATAGATTTATCACTAATAGCTTCGAAATTAAAACAATATGTAGGAAGAATATTTTTCAACTTACATAATTTTTTGTTATTCTACCTTCCTCAAATATTTTCAAATTCACACTTGAGTGAAACATCTTGTTCAAACACACACTTGAGTGAAGCGTCTAGTTCAAACACACACTTGAGTGAAACATCTTGTTCAAACACACACTTGAGTGAAGCGTCTAGTTCAAACTGACACTTGAGTAGAATGTTTTTTTCAGTCTCACACTTGAATGACGGAACTTGTTCTCACTCACTAAAGTGAAGTGACCTTTTAAAACTCGCACTTGATGTATGTGTATCATCCAACTATCGAAACTTACACATATAAATGCTTGCTTTGTTGAAAACCTGTTTGAGTATTTTTATTATATATATATATTTTTTTGCATTTTGCTAATAAAACTTTGAGTATAAAAAAATATGAGGGCATCAAACCAAAATTAACTGTAGTGAATATTCTGCCATTATCAGGTATCAATTTCTACGTATTAATTTATGTGTTTCAGCTGTGCATAATTTCTGCAAGAGAGTGTGCCACATATCCTTTTGTTACCATTATCATTTTTTAAAGCACACACTACGGTTTTCTAAATATACATTTGAAACAGTGAAAAACGTCTATCACTGGAATATTTTACAACAAACTTGTATATATATATGTATATATATATATATATATATATATATATATATATATATATATATATATATATATATATATATATATATATATATATATATATATATATATATATATTTTTTTTTCACACACACTTAGGTGCCTATTGAGGTCCCTTCCTCCCAGGGCTGAGAAACTTACCCTCCCTAGGATGCAACTCCACAACAGTTGCCTATCACGGATATCTATTTACTGCTAGATGAACACAGACATTAGAAGAAATGAAACATGCATAATGATTTTTGTCCCGATAGGCAATCGAACCGGGATCTGCGACTTTACGTAAAAAACAAAGCCAAACCATTGGAGTTTCGCTAACTAGTCGTCATTTGATCAACATTATGAGGCTCTGTTGCCGGGTGGTAAAGCGTAAGTTTATAAAAGCTTATAAGATTCAATTATCTTATGAATGTGTGGTCCATCTGGTGTGACACAGTAGGCTTGAGACCATATAATGGGTTACTAGTAAGACTCACATCTGTCCTGCCAGTTTCTCTTGTTTTGGAATATAAATCATTCATATGTTACCTCTTGTTTCATGCCCATTAATGGGAAATTTTCATAATATTAATCTCTTACGAAACATATATTTCAGGGGAGAAAAGCCAATGTATATATATAACTACTAAAGAATGGTTTATTGATTTCATATGTTTAGTGTGTGAAGCAGTCGTCTTGGATCGCTCATCATATTTCATCTCGTTTAGTTGAACAGGTTCTGGCGACACCTGATACAATTTTTTTTGCCTGCTCGGTAACTTTCTTTTCCCGAAACTGAGGTGTTGCCTTCGTAATGCTCCTTGACCTGCGCTCTCCTGCCGCCCTCACCCCGGCTGCTCCAGTATGCCAAACTATTAGTTTACATCATATATATATATGTATATATATATATATATATATATATATATATATATATATATATATATATATATATATATATATATATATATATATATATATATATATATATATATATATATATATATATATATATATATATATATATATATATATGTTGTTGAATATGACCGAAAGGGTAAGATTAATTATTCTAACACGAATCTTTTCAATATTTATTATGTTTTTCTACACTGTCGGGGGAAGTTGAAAAATTAACTCATTTTCACACTTTTATTTTTTCTCTGACGCCTAGGGATGCATTTCGCAAGGTCACTCCTTACATTCTCATAAATTATTCTCATTCTCATCGGTGGTTCGTCATTGCCTCTCATTCTTGTGGGTCCCTTGACATATTGGCTCAGAAAGTTCCTTGTTGCCACTTCAAAGAGTTTAGCTCTCCATGTATCTGCACCTCTATGTTGGTCCCCATTCTCCCAGTCTATCTTTCCATGGTTAAAATTGCTCATGATTAAGAGTCTGGAGCCATTCCTGCAGGTAACTGAAACTGTTCTCACTATTATATTATTGGTTGCCATGTTGTTCCTATCGAACTCCTGTCTGGGTCGTCTGTCATTTAAGTGAAATGACAGAAGGTCAAGGTTGTAAATGACTGCAACTATTATTTTAGGTCCACGCAATGTCATAGTTCCTGTTATGTAATCTCTGAATCCTTCACAGACCTGAATTTCCCTCTCTTCAAAACTCCAGTCCCTCATTATCAGCAGGGCCACTCCTCCTCCTCCTCCTCCTCCTCTCCCTTCCCTCTCTTTCCATACTGTATAGTAGTCCTTTGGAAACACAGCGTTTGTTATGACTCCTGACAATTTTGTTTCTGTGAGTCTAATTACATCTGGGGTTTCTTCGTGCGCCCTTTCCGTCAGTTCACTTGCTTTATTGGTAATCCCTTTGATGTTTGAGTACATTACCTTGAAGCTATATCCATTTGCACCCACCCTCCCCACTGCTGTAGGAAGCCGTTCCATGGGCAGGGCTACTTGGGTAGGCTCGTTCTCCTGTGGGGTAGTTACCCCACAGTATGTACTCACCTAGTTGTACTAACCAAGTTGTGCTTGTGGGGGTTGAGCTCTGGCTCTTTGGTCCCGCCTCTCAACTATCAATCAACGGATTTTGTTTGTTTCCACACACACAGACACACACACACACTCCCATACACACACACCAGTTGATTGGCAGTTGAGAGGCGGGACCAAAGAGCCAGAGCTCAACCCCCGCAAGCACAAATAGGTGAGTAAACACACACACGTTGATAATTTGTTTAACTGATTAAAACAGTTGATGCACTGTTTAACACGGGTGGTACGCGAACAAGGGGACACAGGTGGAATCTGAGTACCCAAATGAACCACAGGGACGTTAGAAAGAACTTTTTCAGTATCAGAGTAGTTAACAGAACTTTTTCAGTGTCAGAGTAGTTAACAGATGGAATGCATTAGGCAGTGATGTGGTAGAGGCTGACTCCATTCACAGTTTCAAATGTAGATATGATAGAGCCCAGTAGGCTCAGGAATCTTTACATCAGTTGATTGACAGTTGAGAGGCAGAACCAAAGAGCCAGAGCTCATCCCCCGCAAGCACAACTAGGCGAGTACAACTAGGTGAGTATACAGGAAGCAGCCCGTAGCAGCTAACTCTCAGGTACCTATTTACTGCTTGGAGAATAGGAGCATCATAGCGAAAGAAACTCTGCTCATTTGTTTCCGCCTCCGCCGGGGATCGATCCCCGGACCCTAGGATTACGAATCCTGAGCGCTGTCCACTCAGCTGCCAGTACCCCCAACTGAGTGCTTGCCTGTCTGTGTGCCTCTCTGTGTCCCTGTTTGTATGCCTGTCTGTCTATATCTGTCCGGTCTTAGACTTAGTCAATTGATCAACATCTTGTGTAAATATATATTTTGTATATTTTATACATATACATATTACCACCATCAGTTTATATTTAAAGCTAATATCAGTGTATATACTGTCATATATTGCCACTATATTGTCACTACAATTATATAGTAGAATTTGGTACTATTCCTTTTATAGTCCAGAAGAAATAAACCTAAAACCAAACTTAAATAATCCTAGGCCTAGTATACCACATACATGTACAATATTAGGCCTTAGGTAGCATGTATTAGGACTAGACAGGTTCACAGTAGGTTTGGATTTATTAACAACATAAATACAAAAACTTTCTGTTTTTTCCAAATTCAGTAGTACCAAATTCTACTTTCTAATTGTCCTTTACGTCAGTTCTGTTTGAATACCCAAAATGAAAGACCAGATGCTTAGGGCTGGTCTTACCAAACTTTGCAGGATGAATGGTCTGGGATACGGGCCGGACATAGACTGGTCAGTTCAAGTGTTGGTTATAGTGAGGAGTGAGTGTGCACAACTTACGGAATATGAAAAACGATAAAGGCTGAATTGAAACGGTTTGTTTTAAGAGTGAACATTTGTTTGACTGTTTACGAAAATTGACAAGGAGCACCGTACTCCTGGTCTTATAAAGGGGTAGGAACAGCTGTGCATGACTGCTAACGTGTGGTGGTGCACTGAGCAACATTATATATTTGCCTATTATAGCCAAAGTATAATATGTAGTATTAGTTTGTTGATTGTAAGGACATCAGTGTTTTACCATATGGTAAGAGTTTTTTTTTAATTTGGTATTAGAAGGTTGTAAATGTCCAGCCGGTCTCAGAGTTGCCTGGAGGTTCACTGGGGTCCTTATAGCACTGTGACATGTCAGTCTAGTTCCCGTGGCACTTTGGCAAAGCACTCGCCTGGTGCTTCGCGAGCGCTTTGGCCTGGGTTCTTTTCTCTGGCCGGGGAGGATTGACTGCGCGCCAATCCTTAACTGTAGCCTCTGTTCACCCAGCAGTGAATGGGTAGCTGGTTATTAAACGATTTGGAGGGTCGTATTCCGGGAAACAATTAGGATTAAGGACCTACCCGAAACGCTATGCGTGCTAATGGCTTTACAAGAATGTAACAACTCTTGTATATATAAATAAAAAAAAATCCTGATCTTATAAAGGGGTTGGTTTTGCTGTGAATGAAGAGGACTGTACTCCCGGTCTTATAAAGCTGTGGGTGTTGGTGTGGATGACCGTTGGTGTGGATGAGTGTGGTGGTGCACCGAGAAGCACTGCACTCCTAGTCTTTATAAAGCTGTGGATGACTGCTGGAGTGTAGTAGTGAAGAGAGAAGCACTGCACTCTTAGTCTTATAAAGCTGTGGATGACTGCTGGAGTGTAGTAGTGAAGAGAGAAGCACTGCACTCTTAGTCTTATAAAGCTGTGGATGACTGCTGGAGTGTAGTAGTGAAGAGAGAAGCACTGCACTCCTAGTCTTATAAAGCTGTGGGTGCTGCTGTGGATGACTGCTGGCGTGTGGTGGTGCTTGTTTATTCCTGATGTTGTACAGTGTGGTTGACAAAATGAAAGGACATGTAATTGTTAATGTCTATTACGTTCGATCACTAACACATAACTATATATATTAGTGAAATATATAACTATAAATCAGGCCTTTTTTCCGGCCTGATGCCTCTCCGACCTTAGAACGTGGGAACGGTGGCAATGAATGGGAAAAACCCGATAAGAGTTTTTAATACTAAAATCTCTTTGTTAGGCATTCGGATTTTAGGTTCCAGTGCGAACCTCTGACATGGTCACCACTGTTCTCGTTTACTTCATAAAGTTGAGAAGTAGAAAATTACGTTTTACATAACGGCTTCACGTAGATATTTCAGAGTAAGTGAAATTACATCTTTGTATTGCTTTGTGATAAAATAATCTTATCACTTTATTTATTTAAAGTGAAGTTATTTTGGCATAACTTTACATTTTAATCCACTATATCTTTGACGACAAGGGATGAACGAGATTTCTGATAATGTATATAGTTCATTAAATATACATATCACATTATAATATAAATAATGAATTACTAAATTAATACATTCTGGCTATGAACATACATATGATGACGACACACACCATTACAGCTAAAAGTGTAACTGGAGGGAATCCTGATATTCACAATATCTGCAGGAATTCCCCACGAGCCGTGTCTGTAGTGATGGAGAGCGAAGTGGGGTGGAAATGGAAGACGAGGTTGTTACTGGGGAGCACCGTAACTGGCAGAGGGACCCCTGCTCTCTCCTCTGGCGCGGGCAGCGTCCTCCTGAGCGGCGAAGGCGATCTGGTCCAGTACGAACTGGGGGATTGGGTGGGGGAACTCAGGAGCCACTGGCAGGAAGGAGGACTGGGGCTGGTAGCCGCCAGCGTCGGCGACGAACGTCAGGTCGAACACTTGTCCGTCGGGGAAAGTGAAGCTGTGAAAGAGAAGAGGTGGTTTAGGTACCATCTGTAACGTGGGAATGCCTTTTTAGACAATTATGTTGTTATTAAAACTAAACGCAAAGCAAAAACATTGCTTTCGTGGGATTATTGAGAAAAATGTTTGTTCAGGTGAATCGCGGGAATCAGGAATAAAGATGAGGATGAAAAACTGGGATGATGGGATTACCATAGGAATCGACAAGTGATGTTTGCGGACAAAGGCAAGCAAGAATGGCCGTAAAAGCTGGTGTCAGCAGTAATAGAAGATTATATCTTACAAGAATAATACGTTTAATAATGAATTTTAACTTGAAGTTATGCGCCACTGGTAACCAGTCCAATGTCACTCCGTTGCCTGCCTTACCTGACAGAGCCCTGCTGGCTGCCGCCGGGGCCACCAGACTCCTGCCTCTTAATGCCATCTTCGGTCTCCAAGTCCAAAGAGTACAGGCCTTGAGCGTCAGGGTGAACTCTGTCGTCGCGGATGATAGCAATCTGGGGTCCGGCGGCTTGGCGAGGTGCAGGACCTGGTGCTCCATAGGTAGTGAGCGGCCTCTTGTCTGCCGCCGCCACAGCCAGCAGAGCAAAAATCACGAACTGTGCCACGGGAAGGGTAGTACGTCAGGTCAGTTAGGGCAGCCAAATATTAACACGTGTTTTAACTACGATTGTGGAATAGTGATTGAACATAACACATCTTTTCTAACGAGGGCACTCTTCTGTTATGGATGGTTGTTACTTTATAAAATTAAGGAATACAAAGACATAAAAATTACCATTATCAGTGCCAGAATTATGAAAATTATATAATAGACGATAGAGGACAAGAAAGACTCCGTACCAAGCTAAAAATATATATATATATATATATATATATATATATATATATATATATATATATATATATATATATATATATATATATATATATATATATATGTCGTACCTAGTAGCCAGAACGCACTTCTCTGCCTACTATGCAAGGTCCGATTTGCCTATTAAGCTAAGTTTTCATGAATTAATATATTTTCTCAAATTTTTTTCTTATGAAATGATAAAGCTACCCATTTCATTATGTTTGAGGTCATTTTTTTTTATTGGAGTTAAAACTAACGTAGATATATGACCGAACCTAACCAACCGTACCTAACCTAACCTAGCCTATCTCTATAGGTTAGGTTAGGTTAGGTAGCCGAAAAAGTTAGGTTAGGTTAGGTTAGGTAGGTTAGGTAGTCGAAAAACAATTAATTCATGAAAACTTGGCTTATTAAGCAAATCGGGCCTTGAATACTAGGCATAGAAGTGCGTTCTGGCTATTAGGTACGACATATATATATATATATATATATATATATATATATATATATATATATATATATATATATATATATATATATATATATATATGTGTGTGTGTGTGTATGTGTGTGTGTATGTGTGTGTGTATGTGTGTGTGTATGTGTGTGTGTATGTGTGTGTGTATGTGTGTGTGTATGTGTGTGTGTATGTGTGTGTGTATGTGTGTGTGTATGTGTGTGTGTATGTGTGTGTATGTGTGTGTATGTGTGTGTATGTGTGTGTGTGTGTGTGTGTGTGTATGTGTGTGTATGTGTGTGTATGTGTGTGTATGTGTGTGTATATGTGTGTATATGTGTGTATGTGTGTGTGTGTGTGTGTGTGTGTGTGTGTGTGTGTGTGTGTGTGTGTGTGTGTGTGTGTGTGTGTGTATGTTTTGTTATTTCTCTGGTTATTTTCAAGCTTGGTAACAAGAGTCTCGGGTTCTACTGGGTTTAGGAGAAGTGCCGTAGCGCTGGTGATACTTACGGTCCTCATGTTGCAGGTTGAGTGCGGGAGAGTCGAGAATAAGCGACTGTTGATGCCTGCTGCTCGACTCACAGCTTATATAGTAACCACCTCGACCGCTGGTGCTGATCTCCACCACCGCTGCCGCTGCCCCCCTCTCCCTATACCTCCTTCTGCTCCAGTTGCCTTCTGCCACAACCTTCCTGTTTGTCACCTCTCGTCATGCCTGCTTCCTCACTCATGCTTATGTTTAAATATGCAATTGTCCGTAGGAAATCCGCGCATACGCTATGGATTTAGGGGAATGTAAGGTTGTAATTATTTTTTTTTTGTACCCGCACGGTGCCCTGGAGCTCATGACACAGTTGACCAGTTCAAGGTGTACTGGACCTGTTACCCCCGACACTATACGGGTATACTGGAACTTGCTCTATAAGGCAGAGGTCATGAAAGCATTTCATTTGTCCGCCTATTATTGATGTCAGAGGATGACTGTGCACGGTGTCTATTGTCGAGGAGTGAGGAGGAAGAGCACGTGGGAGAAGCATACTCCTCCTTTTTCCCCTACCCTTCTTCTTTCTCCTCTTTATCCTTCTCGTTTCCTTCCTTCTCTTCTTTTTATTTTTTTTTTCTTTCTCATTCGTCTCCTACACTTCATCCACCCTTTCTTCCTCTTCCTTTTCCTTCTCCTCTTCTCTTCTCTTCTCTTCTCTTCTCTTCTCTTCTCTTCTCTTCTCTTCTCTTCTCTTCACTTCTTCCTCCTCCTTCTCCTTTCCTCTTATTTCTCCTCTTCTCTTCTTCCTCGTCATCCACCTTCTCCAGATAATCCCTAGTAGACACGCGCTAAACGCTCCTGCTAAAAATGCTTGTGTAAATTAATGAAGAGAGTTAAAGGATAAAACGAGAGAAACAGAATAATTGTTAACAAGAGAGAAAAGTAGAGGATATACAGAAACCAGAGGACAAAAATACAACTAAAATATAGTTGCATAACAATACTGAGTGAACAAATTAATAGATCTGTTCGTTTAATATGTAAAAGTAATACATAGAAGCTTGTGGGAGCTCACCTTGATGTACTCATCTTAATGTGCTGTCATGAGTGAACTCTTCTGTCCGGTCATTCCAGTATGTTGTAGCTTTATTAAAAATTACCTTTTCTCTCTCCCTTTAATTATAATACTAAAATTATGAAAATATGTACTGAAATAACTTCAATCAAAGTTGTAACTAAATTTTTCCAATTATTTGCAACTCTTGCATCGAATTTCTTTCTGAATTCTCTGTTACTCACCTGTGTCTCTAGTTCCTCGCTATGAATATTGCTCGTTTCTACTTTTTAAATTTCCCTCACAATCTTCTATGACGTTATCATGTCCACTTTTTTTCCTTCTCTAATCCACTGTGATGAGGAACATTTACCATAGACATTTTCTCGTAGCTCAGTCTCCTCAGCTCTGGAACGAACATTAATACATATCTTTATTCATTGCCAAGATTAGTTTTTTGTTTCTTTCTGTTTGGGAGTTCCACACCGGGGGCTGCATACTCATCATTGGGAGTCACGTATGTTGTATACGTTCCTAGAAAGGCTCTTTTGTTTACATTCCAGATGAATGCGACTACGGTTGTGTTGTCCGCCTATTATATTATAGCCAACTCAACAGCAGTACTACCTTGACATATGTTGCCACCCCTGTACTGCCGTTGTGTGTCTCTGGTGTAGACCTGGCAGGGACTAATGTATTTAAAGTCTTCTCACTCCTGTTCGTGCACATGACATGGCATATGTTTGGCTTCAAGTTCAGTAACAGTTTTTTAGACCACGCCTGAAGATTATTTAGCTCATTTGGCACACCCACTGTCATCTTCTGTTCTTACATAAATGATGTGGCATTCATCCCAATAAGTTCCTTTTGTTGTTTCCATACTTACACTTTTGTTACTTTTGTTTTGGTCAGTTTTTCTTTTGTTTCCTTTAGAACTCCTAAATCTAGATGGTAGAGGTTGATCTAATTCCAGGTTGAAAATTTACTGGGAGCTTTAATTAAGTACTTCCCATACACTTCCAGATCTGCTGTGAGTCCTTCCTCTTCTATAGTGCATCGTGATCATCTGGTCATTCACACATCTTCCTCCTAATGTAGCTATATAGTTGTTAAGGCTCGTCCTTAGCTTTCGTTACTGTGTTAATCTCAAGTTGCTTCCCAGTCGTTCTCCAAATTCGTATATAATCGTTCCTCTCTTCTCTTTTGTGCATGTTGCGGTTAACTTTTTAATTTCTGTAATTCTTCCATGCACTTTTACTTCTACTTACTAGCTAAGGTTAGTTCAGCCAAGAGAACAAAGTTCGTTAACCTTACAGGGTTAGATGTGGCTACAGGGCATGTTTATATCACCTCCCTTACCTTCATGTACCCTACAGTGACCCATATGGCAGTACCTGCTGCTATGGCCCCGTAGAACCACCCATCCCTCACACTGAACCACAAACAATTTCTGAATACATTGTGACCGGCTTGTCTGGTGACCTTTATCGTCTAGAACACAGGGCCCCCGCCGGTAACAGTGGTGTTAAATAATCTCAGAAACATCTTTGGCAGATTTCCCAAGTGTTACTAGTACCTCTGGACCAAACTGTCAGGCCCCACTTCACCCGCTGGGTGAGTTCCGAATTTTAATATTACGGTAATATAATTAGTAATATTATTATCATTGCTCATTAAGGTATGAGTCTCTTACCTTTTAGCTAAACTGAACAACGTATCTAGGTTGTCATATATTGGCCTGGAGATCCTTACTCCTGGTTGGAGACACCATTAAACTGCTCGCCTTGTTGGAGACTACACCAGCTGCTCGCCTTGTTGGAGACTACACCAGCTGCTCGCCTTGTTGGAGACTACACCAGCTGCTCGCCTTGTTGGAGACTACACCAGCTGCTCGCCTTGTTGGAGACTACACCAGCTGCTCGCCTTGTTGGAGACTACACCAGCTGCTTGCCTTGTTGGAGACTACACCAGCTGCTCGCCTTGTTGGAGACTACACCAGCTGCTCGCCTTGTTGGAGACTACACCAGCTGCTTGCCTTGTTGGAGACTACACCAGCTGCTCGCCTTGTTGGAGACTACACCAGCTGCTCGCCTTGTTGGAGACTACACCAGCTGTTTGCCTTGTTGGAGACTACACCAGCTGCTCGCCGTGTTGGAGACTACATCAGCTGCTCGCCTTGTTGGAGACTACACCAGCTGCTCGCCGTGTTGGAGACTACACCAGCTGCTTGCCTTGTTGGAGACTACACCAGCTGCTCGCCTTGTTGGAAACTCTAAAAGAGGTTGCTATGTTGGAGACGTCATCAGCGAATATGTTCAACATCTTGCCTATTTCTTGCTCCGCCTATCTAGTTAATACATTTACAAACTCTTATCACCCGCTTAATATATCTTCTAGCTTTCACAGATATTTTATATTGCTAATAATGTTGTATTTTTCAGTTATTTAACTTATCAGCATTTAATGTTTAACTGAGCACTAGTTTGCTTAACTTGACATTTTAAAATAAGAAAAGTATAAACAGGAAACTCAGATGGATTTTCTTGCATCTACACTTCAATCTTTGCTTACACATATGGCCTACTTTTTATTTATGTCGAATTAACATAATGAAACATAAAATGACAAAGCAAATATCTTCATGTTTCTGGGTCCCAGACAAGGGCCTTAAATATCAAACATGACATAGCCTTAGCAGATGTCGGCTCTGGGAGAGCGGTTCATTCTTTGTTAAATTGCTTTATGAGAATTTATCCTACCGATTAATAAAAAAGCCTAGAGTAACTCCAATATCTTAAGCGCATAATTCATCATATGTAATATATGCAAAATTAACCTCTTTCTGCTTAGCTAGGTTTTAACACAATGTAATATGACACAATAATTGATGATTGCCGCACTATAACTTCTTTACCATTTAAGTACTCTCTTGAGTGAGCAACAAATAACCTTGCTACTGTCTTCACTCATAAAACAGCTTCAGGTATACACTTGACACTTGAAAATCATCTGTCCCTTTCCTAGTCAACAACCCAAACATTGTATTCACTGTCACCGGGTATATGTTCTGTTTATTTAAAATTTATCAACACCAGCAGATGGTAAATATTTATACTATTCACTCTGCCTTCGCAAGTTAAACATAAGAACACTTAGGCAATAATATCTTGTGACCTCTAATGGACCAGTTGGCAACGCTTGGATACATTCTTGCACTGTGAGCTGAATAATTAACGATGTACAGAATGTCGGGAATCAGCACTACACATTCTAATTTATTTGCTTGTCTGGCTTCTATGTCATCCAGGCCGTTCAGGCGGCGGCTTCTTCTGTCAAGACTGGATTGCTGTCTCAATGACTAAGCCCTTCCTGACCACATAAGAGAAGAGATACATCATTAGTCTTCCTCCATACTGGGTGAGTGGAGAAAGACTCAAGAGTCTATCGGGAGATTGTTATAGGAAAGTCATCTTTCATAAAACAATTTCCCCGATAGATTAACACTTGAGGGTCGTTCAAATCAACTGTCTGATGCGTCTCGTGACTCTAGCAACCTTTCACAGGTTTCTGCTCTCTGCTTTCTGTTTCTGCTTGCTCATAAAGACACTTATAAGTGTCTTCACTCTCTGCTTAACATGAACGTCTAATTCTCACAGCTTTATTCGTGGCAAGTTCTAAATAGGTGAAGCACACACATGTTGTGCACTAATTGGGTGAACTTCCTAAAGCGCTCCTCCTGATTGGTCAATATTGAGATTTTAACCTTTATAGGACCCAGCGGTGCATTGAGGCGCGCTTCCTTTTCCCCGTCTTCCCTGCTCCCTCCTCTTTCGCAATCTTCCCCACTCTCTCACCTTTTCTCCTCTCTTTCTCTACCATTCTCCACTTTTCTTTCCCCTCCTCCCTCATCTCCCCACTTTCCTTCTACCATATCCCTCAACATTCCGTCTCACCTGACTTTTCCTCTCCTCTCCTTTTCTTTTCCACTCTCTTCTCTGTCTATCTGTCTGTCTGTCTCTCCCTTTCTCAGAAAAGTAATATTACGAAAAGATGTAACTTCATTTTAAAT